CCTTGTTCGCTTACTGGCACATGAAAGGTGCCGCTCGTTAATCGAAAGCTTGTTTCCTCCCTTGATCCTTTCCTGTGTTGTCCTAAAGTGACAAGACGAAGGTGCGACACCGACAGATACAAATCAGTATATTTCAACTGAAAAGAGGATTCACAGTGTAAGTAACACCAGTCACTATGCCGTAATTCCATGCTAGCCTGGATACGCTCTATGAATACATGCAGCATCCTGTCCAGTTGCACAAACCACTAAATCACATGTCCCTTTTCGCCAATTTCAATCCTCAAATGGCTGCTGGTTGCGTACGAATTAGACCATGACCTAACCGCATTTCTGCTTTGAACCCTCCAACAGCAGACAGTTCGCGGGAACGAGATCACTCATACGGAATGATCTCATCTGATCAAAACAGTCCGGTATATCTACAAAAGGAGGTAACCAGCTCTTTGGTCGGTTGCGGTGGGTAATCAGGTGATAGGATTCACTAATCTCTTTCATAGTGCACAGTTCTTACATCCATCCTGACTTCGAATAGACCGTATAAGTAAGCAACCTTAGTTGAAGAATGACCTCTCAAGTACTAGGCGCTACGACACCGGCAACGAAGATCGTTGAACGTATGCGTAAGCTCTCTTGACAGCAAAAGCTGAGGCTGCAAGGAGATTTCAGTAGAGACTACCAATGGCTTCGCGATGATCTCACAATGGGGTAGTCTCCATCACGTACGCTACCGGTTTCTAAATCTTAATCATGATGCGAAACTCAGTGGTAACTCTCTGAAACTGAGTGAACAATACAATTGTTCAGAGTGCAGACGAATCGGCAAAATTTGGAAGTCTCTGCCAAACCCGGCTTTGTTCTACCCCAACGCGTCACCTGGCTTCGCACATTTTGGTACAAGTTTTGTGCACTGACATATCTCTATGTTACTCTTAATGAAATTACTTATCCCAGTGGCATGATGACACTTGTACAGACCGTGACTATCTTTTCACAAAAAGCGTTAATTATAAGTACTATCAGTTTGTTTTGAATGTCCTCAACACCTTCTTAGTTTCTCACCACCACCGTGTGTCTGTGCAAAGATAGCGTTTGTCTATTTGACCTTAGTAAGTCTACTTTTCACCGTTTTATGTTTATGTACTTAAAATGGTGAAACGCATATCTCGATTATGCGATTTCATCTACTATACCGTGGGAATTGTTATATATTTATTCCTTCAACAATCCAAATATTCACCTTAGCTTGCGCACCTAACTGCCAATATGTTGCGTATGCTGCTTATACGAAAGAGTGGCCGTCACACACTCACCTGTCTTGATCACCCCGATGGGCAACATAGGATTCAGGCTGCGCTTGAGACCGTGGTAGATAGATCCGTCCAGTTTTACCCGAAGTCATTAATGTTGTTCTCTCCACAGGTAATTTGATAGTCGTTAACCTTGATGATTTTGCTGTAGGAATGGTTGCAGCGCTAGATACGCCGTCTGCGTCTGGTCGTTGGTCACTTAAAACTGTGATTCCAGCCAAATTGATTCGGCTATCTGATTTGGAATGCCTGAGGTTAGGGTCAAGATCTGTGGGGAATGGATCCGGAGATGGGTACTCTTCATGCCGGCTGTCAATTGTACTGACAAGTTCTTGCTGTGGGCAATAGAACGTTGCTCTTGGAGGCTGTCTTCCAACATCACGATATCTTGGCGCGGATCCACTTGATTCCAGCACTCTTTCATGACTGCGGGACGCAGCGCTGTTGTTATGGTTTGGGCAAAGTTAATAACAAGTTACTGAATGTGTGGTGAGACCCTATGTGAGTTACCGACATAAGTACTGCAACAATCGTTATCGAAATCTAAATAAAGGGAAACACACCTTGCAGTAATTGTTTACCAACACACAGTCGTATTCGGTAGCTGTTAGTTAGACTATTTTAGATTCTTCAAACTAGAATTTACTTGAACTGCTCGTCTACATATGGTATGTTTCTAAACCAGTATATTACATCGGAAATGAATCGGCGCATAGCGACAATGGTTTTATGAGCACCGAATGGTTGCACCTGAAACGTACGATATATATCGTTAGCAAATAGCTTATGGCCACAGTAGAGTACAGGTCGGTAGGTACAAACGGTTAAGTACTTGGACATTTGCACAATAAATGTGAACACTGTTTGGAAAGTCGCGTGTTTGACAGTGGGCAGCGGGACTTAGTTGATGTCACTTGTCAATACCAAAGGTTGCGCATCAATCGTTCTTTGAGTAGGTGCACATGCCTAGGGCAGCACATGACCGAACCGGTCGGAGACACAGAGAGCCAGCAATGGACACTGCATCGCATTCGCATGCTGTGTGATCTCCCCCATCCGCTACTCAAACCAGAGTGTACATGTAGAGGGCAACACCTAAGTGCACACTATTTCACTGTACCAGTAGTTTAGTCATCATTTTACCTAGTAGCTGCTTCACTATTGCTACATCGAGTTCCTTCAAATATGAATGCCCAAGATTTAAGGTTGTCACGTCTAAATGTTGAAGAAAACATCAACCGTTCAGTAGTTCGAAGGTCTCCGGCGAGATTTTGGAAAGCCATTACCTTATAGCATTAAACATTCCATTAGCAACCGCATCCTAATCAAAGTGTCTTTCACCGTACTTAGATCAGAAGCATTTGGTACGTTGAGGTCCTTCTCACAGATCACATTCTTAGGCAGGAATCCACCAAGGTGAATAGAGCAGAAGTCCCAGTATAAAGTAAAGCATACTTATCCCGATAACTGGGCAACAAGCACTTCACCGCCAAGCAGCGCAGCAGACCATACTTTGCTAGCAGCCGGTCAGCATCTGTTGCTATTGATACGTCCAGCCATAGCGTAAGTTTATCGGCGTGGATTAACCATTCCGTGGGCGGCGCTGATGAGACGTGGTTGATATAGATGCTAAACAGCTGGGTGGTAAGCACAATGCTCTGTGCAACCCAGTTGGTCATGGAAACAAGCGCAGGAAAAGGATTCCTTCGATTTCTTTTGCATGTTACACCCGAGCAGAAAGTGTTACCAAGAGACACAAATACCTCGGAGTTTAAAAAGATTCCTTTCACGAGGAGTTTGTCGTAAGCTGGGTTTTATCCACGTATACTTATTTGCAGATCACATCATCTCTGAGTTTACGAGGTTTAAAGCGATGTGGTTACTAGCTGTAATGGGACATGGTTTGGGTGCCGAGGTGATCGTTATGATAGGACCGTGACTTATGATTCAGGAAAGGTTATCAGTGTCTTCAATTGACTTGGGATCCATACCAATAATCATAGTGAATAGTACAATTAAATACATTTACTATTGTCCTTGTCGACTCTAGCTGGTTGAAATTTCATGTCAGATTTTTGCATAGCCTCTTGGATTAACGTCCTGTTCCATCTGGAAACCGATAGATGCCATGCAGCACTAGGTGTGTACTAGACGTCTAAACCTGTTATGAGGTGAAAGATTTGATGTATATAAAAATTACGCATCTGGACGCAAGATATAGGACAGGTCATTACAGGGTGTTCTTAGCTATTTAGTATATGAATACAAGCGCTCAGTTAATTTTGCAATTAAAAATGTATTCGGTTGTATATCTCACAAACGAGTGTTGAAAAGCGTAAAATGTTTTGGAGTCTGGAACCCTCGTATAAGTTGGATTTTCTTCCGCCTCAGCAATCGATTTCAAATAGTCACTTTGGGTGACTAATACACTTCCCCACACCAAATCCTCAACGGTGTCATCCAAGGAACGGTATTCGTCCTTTTGCTATTTCACTTTTATATCAGTGGTCTAGTTATTTACACCAAAAATGGACAACTTTTTTATTTGCCGATAACAACAAACTCGTCTATAAGCTCCGGCTCGATGCCATTCAAAACACACTGCATTTAGATCAAGCTAATCTTCACTCCTTTGAGGAATGGTTCGACACTTGGTTGCTGAGGTCGTCTCCACTGACAAATCAGGCGTTATATTCTATGGTTGCTGTGTCCCAGAAGTATGTCTAAACGGCAGGATTCTTACAACTTCCGCTTTTCTCAACAAGCCCACTACCGAGTGAGAAAATCCTTTGCAAACTCGAGTTATTCAAAACGCACACTCGTCCTAACCTTAACTACTGCAACTTCATCACGGAAAATGGCCAGAGGTCATTCACCAAACGCTTGTTCCGTGGCGCTTCTACCATCACTTTGTAAGCAGCGCCAATTCGAGTTCCGCTGGCTACGGCGTCTGAAGTGAAATTTGATCCTCCTACGCAATTCGTTACATCAGAAACGTTACTTCACTTGCCTAATGTAGAGATAAGGCAACATATCCATCAAAGACCGTAACAAAAAGTTTCGTGACTTTTATCAAGGGCTAGAACAACCAAATCTTTAACGTTTCCTACATCAGGAACAGCCTGTCAACGATAATCGGATTATGTGAAAATCCCACATCCTTCTACATCAAACTCGATAGTTTTTTTGATAGGAAAGCAGTACCATCCATGTTGAGGGTCATTTTGAAGTACATGTTGTGTGGATGGATTGCGACACGCAATCTCAATTTGGAACGAGATTCGCATTGAAGCGAACCATGGTATTTCGATCACGAGGACCGTAGCTGATGCAAATAGAAATTGGGTGTTGCTCGCCCGAAAACATTACACTATTATGACGCGTTGCGAAGTTATCACATCTCATCAGATAGAGTTAGCACGTAGCGAACCATCCAGGTTCGAAGCCGGCGAACCACCTGAGAAAATATTTTATGATGGACCAAAAATATTGAAGGAACTAAAAGTCGTTGTCAATATGTACTCGTGCAAGAGCATGATTATTTCGGCACATACTGGTCTGCTCCTATTTTGGGAACGGCTTCTCACACTTTGAAGATTTATACGTATATTCGGTTATTATTATTGCCACACAAATGCTGAATACCTGTAGCTCTTATATCCACAAGACAATATTGCTCCTAACTTACAGTTGCTTTGTTCCAGATCAGGGGTGATACAAGAAGGCGATCGCGTGATCACAATGAACGGGCAAACCACGCTTAATCGCACGATAGAAGAATTGACCGAAGCTTTCCTCAACCCCGAGCCTGGACGACGTAAACCTCTGAGACTAACCCTGGTGACACAGTACTCGGTGGCTGACAACATCATCCCAACAGCCGGCGTATTCGATGTAAAGCTGGTACGGAGATCGGCCAGTTTAGGTATAAACCTACAAGGTCAGCTTAGTGCAGTCGCTTTCTGTAGGTTTAATGAAGCGACCAATTTTCTTCCTTTTTCTGCGCTCTTTATCTGCTATGACATTTTGATATTTTGATTTAACGAATGATTTGTTGCACAACGGATGCAAATCTGATGAGATTCTAACAGCGTCGTATTAGCTTATGACTGCCACATAAGTCATATCTCACATGTGAACGGGTAATAAGATCTATGGTGACTACCTCTCATCTAGTCAGTGTTCTCCTTACAACTAGCGCCCGAGTACCAGGTCAAAATAAATAGGATATTCATCTAAAGCGCGTAGCAACTCAGTAGGGATCAGGTTAGTTGACTCCCACGCTTGCGGGAACATCGAACCTGAAGACTTTTATTTGTCGCTTAATCCCTGCCGTCAAACTCCCACACACAGAGAAAATAATGAGGTTTTGTTGGTTCATATTTTATGCATAAATGCGCAAATCGAATAACTCACTTCATTGAGAGCAGGCAATTTCCTACGAATTAACAACATATGGTCGTCGCTAACGTTTTAGGTCCTAACTGTCCCTTAGCCTCCAGATGCTCCTGTACAGCAGACCCCTAAAGTAGATCAATAAAATGGAATAATACTACAAATGTAAAACGCAGTTGTTTTAAGCCCTAGCTAAACTACCGCCTATATTGAATTAATCCGTTGGGTGTTGAGCAATTAGATAATACCTATGTGTTGGTCCTGTTACAGCCTCCATCAAAAAACAAGACGGTCAGCCGCTCCTGATAAGTAAGGTAATTCCTGGGAGCGTCGCCAGTAGGAGTGGTTCCATTTGTCCCGGAGATATTCTTTTGGCCGTGAATGGTGTCCATCTGGCGTCCTGTAGTCTGTCGGAGGCGATCCGGTTATTACAAGCCTCGGAGGAGGAAATTGTCACATTGCGTGTTCAAAAACTCGTGCCTACTAAATCGATTCCCAACTCAGACAATCCGTTGATTTGTTCAAACCCTGATACATCGAATTTGCTACTTCGACCGGTCGAAGTCCCAGAGTCTCAGCTGACTCAGCTTCTTCCAACTCAGGAACCTCGATCAGTGGAGGAGGTGAGTAGTCCACCAGAAATAGCTTTGACACACAAGGCGCTGGAGACACCTACCACATCCACTACTCGACGTAGAACCAGGAGGGAAGACCGAGTATATATCACGGGTCGATCTACCTCCTCGGACCAGGATGACCTTCACGTTACAGACGTCAGGGACTCGAACAAACAAGTGACTCGGGTCATACACCAAGCACCCTCCGCAAGCGTTGTCTCAGAAGAGGGAAACAGACGGAAAAACATGCCGGGGCCACAGCATTTGCCTCAGTCCAGTGTCGTGGATGCACGCCGTCGTCTAATCAGTAGTCCAGAGAGTAAGTTCAACCGCGCCCATTTTAAATCTGCTGGTTATAAAACCAACTGTTAGGTCTACTAACGAAGCATTATTACGATACATTGCAAATTATCTAAAAACAAAGAGAGTTTTCTTGTTAACTTGTTCATAGAGGTAGAACTTTGATTGTAAACGTCTTACTGACTTGGTATCTTCAGTGTGCGTGTTGATAAATTACTTCATTGTTATGCGTTGATCTTCAACTAAAGATGGAGATAGAAACATCCGGCTGTCAACTCATGCCTGTATGAGAATTTCAAGCGTCGGTCAATATCCCCATCAGATTAGCTCTCCGCTGGCATAGTGAGGACAGAGAGAGCGATCGCCAATGTTTGCTGCTAAGATTGTTGCGGCGCTGGAAGGATCCCTCCAATTCTATTGGTGCGGCATTTATGGCACTGATAGAGCACAATTAGGTAGCTTTGCTATTCGTTTTGCAATCACTAACTGGTGTTGGCTATGTTGGCTCTAAATTTATCTGGATTATTTACTTCGGATTTAGTAGTATACAGGACCGTGTCTAATGCACATATGAAGAACCGATCTTAGGTGGGATTTATTGCACTTAATGTTATCTTATTTATCAGAAACTTCTTTACCAATTTTATCTGGGACCGTTGTTCATTAGTTGGGATACCTACTGTTGGTCACCGCATTCACGAGATTCCTTCAGTAGCGCAGTTGCGCTTAGGATGAAACTACACGCAAAATATAAGTAACCAAAAAGAATGGGGTGGTTAAAAGTTAAAAAGTACAAGAACGAGCTTTTAGGCTCACTGACTGCTCTGCTGTGCCGTGTTTGAATAGGTGCCCAACTACTAAGGCTGGTGTCGCAAACAATATCGTTCTCTTAAAAACATAAGGCTTGTTTAGCAAGTGCAAATACTCAAGACGGATAGCACACTTAATTTGCGAATCGCTTCGATATATATTGCTAGTTAGCATCCATTGGTAACGGCCTTTTTGAGGGTGTTTTCCTATGATTCGGTTAAACAAACGACGGTAAAAAGTATAGTCCTTGCATTTTATATTCACCAATTAGTTTTATGCCCCGTGAGTATGCTGGTTTCTCGCAATTCTCTTACAATGTCAGGTTTACTCTGCAATTAAGGCAATCTAGAATTATTAGCATGAATAAAGGGAGGCAGAATCTGAGTAAAGAATTCTTTTCGGTAATTCTCATCTGACTCAAACATTACATAATGACAAGAAGGCACTAAATATGCTGTATTGGGCTGCGTATTGAACAGAATGTTTAATTTCAACGGGAACAAATCAATAAATCACGGGGTCATTGAAGGTGGCAGGGTAGAAGTAAAGGACGTACAAACTGTTTTTTATACGCACAATTCTGGCTTGAGGTGGCGGATGTAGATAGTTTCCGCAATAGACAGGAGATGCTTTCGAAATCCGCGCGAGAAACGCCCAGGAATAGTATAGATGACTCTAAAATCATTTTCCGTCCCTGAGTGACTGCACTCTAGAAGGTGGGACGAGATGGAACTGTTACTGGACCTCGCTTCACCTTTGTAAAACCACTTTGGAATGTATTCGCGAATCCTATGAGATAGGCGCCTCGTGGTACGACCCACGTACCGTGCCCCACAGCAGCACGAGTAAAGATAAACAAGCATTGATCGAGTCACCGGAGGCAGCCTGTCCTTCAAAGGTTTTGCTACTAAAGGCTTGTTGTAAAATACTATGCGTAGGCGAGCCGCGACAATGTCGGATGAAACTCAAATCATTCATGAAATTTCTGCTACATAATACGCACGCACTGAATTTCATCAGTGAAATGATTCAAGTCAAGTCAAGTCGATATAAGCTTTATGTACCCAAAAGGGTGCATTTTCAGAATTTTACATTATCAACTGTATATTTACAAGAGGGTTACCAGTAAAATGCAAAGTTTGCAAATGGAGATAAAAATGAGGATGCACTGTCATAGATCGATCAAGCAACAATCACCAAAAAGTTGGACTAAATCTTCGGGATTTGTATCCATTGAAAACGGAAAAGGTTTCGTAAAAATGTTTCCTTAGAATTCGTTTCAACTGACGTAGAACTTTGTGTCCAGCAACAATATATCAAGGGTCGGACGCGATATATTGTGTGCATGTTAAATGTTGGATAGAGTAAAAGGTGGCAGTGACCTCGGAAGTTGATTTAACAAAATAACTGTCGGTGTAATATTGCAATAACGAGATATATGCAGTAGACAATGTAAAAATGATGTTCAGGGAAAAAGGCAACCGCCACAGGTTGGGCTGCTTCTTAACTGTTTTAACCCAAAGAAACTTGAACGTCCAGTGTTAATGATTGCGAGTTATATCATAATCCTATTGACGATAGCCGATATTCTGCTACAGATTTATTGGCGTTCGGTTCATCTTATTGCCCAAATTAGAGTACCATAACTTTGTCAGGAGGTATCAGCAAGTTTCTGGTTTAAAGCACTGAGTTCCTTTTATCATTCTAAATAAGACAATGAGAAGACTGGTATTGTGAGATGGAACCATTTCGTGTTATCTGCTCACTCGCAAACTAACAACCTAAACATGAATCTCGTGACAGAAAAATCGAAGATTTGAAACTGGTCACAAAAGAAAATTACGTAGACGCAAGACTATGCACGGAAAATATGCATTTCTTATTTGAAAACAAACCGTACCGACAGGTGGATGGTGTAGCCATGGGAAGTCCGCTTGGCCCGGTATTGGCTGACATCTTCATGACGATGGTTGAAATGAGATGGGAGCCGTACATCAATCAAATGTGCTTATACAGGCGATATGTAGATGACACACTAGTGATCGCCCCAAGTGGGGACGCTGTTCTATCTCTTCTCAATGTGTTCGATAACGCACATCCAAACACCCGTTTTACCTGTGAAATGGTGGATAATAGTTGCTTTCCGTTTTTGGATGTGTTGTTGACCAGACGAGAAGACGGCTCCATAAAGCGTTGTGTTCACAGGAAAGCTAAATGGACGTGATTGTATGAACACCTCACCAGCTTCGCCCCTATACAATATAAGCGGTGCTTAGTCAAGACGCTGTTTAATCGAGCCCGCAGAATATGCACTGAAGACTGTTTGGAATCGCATTTGCTGTTTATCACACAGACGCTACGGGCCAACGGGTATCCAGAGGCGTTTATTCGATTCCACAGTCAACTGAAGGAAAACAGGCCGAGGGTACTTACTGTGCCCAAACTGTCTGTCTACCTTCAATTACCTTTCAAATGTGATATCGTGGCCGCCTAACTTGAAAGACTATTGTCTACAGCGATTCGTCGGACATTCAATGCCGCCAAATTCTGCCCCATTTGGGAGATCAGGAAGTTCCCTATGCCTCCAGTGAAGCCTACTCAACCGATCTCCGCCACAACCCATTGTATTTGCCAATTAGTTTGTAACTGTGGTAGTAGTTACATTGGCAGAACAGATCGATCCTTGGGTAAGCGCATTGGAGAGCATATCCCAAAACGGATGGCTAAAATCTCGACACAACCAACAGCCGAAAGAAAAAAGGTATCTAAGCTGCCGGCATCATCGATCGCCAGACATCTACTCGAATCAGGCCATCAGGTGGACCCTAGGTCAACATTTACAGTTATCTATCGAAACGACAACCCCAAAGTATTGAGGTTTACCGAAGCGGTGGCACTTAACCGGCATCGCCCTATCCTTTATGTACAAAAACACTTAGCAATCTCCCTGAAGCTCCTTTGGAGCTCATGACCCTAAGATCAAGCTCGTTGATCTGTTATTCCTACGTCTACGTAATTTTCCTTTGTGACCAGTTGCAAATCTTCACTTTTTCTGTCACGTGATTCATCTTTATGTTGTTAGTTTGCGAGTGTGCAGATAACACGAAATGGTTCCATCTCGCAATACCAGTTTTCTCATTGCTTATTTTGAAATTTCTGGTTGTTACGTTTATGATAAGTTAAATGACTCTGTTTGCATATGTGCATAAACAATCTTGACAAGCACTCTTTGGTTTAAAACAAAGGAAAATATCCGTAGGTCGGGGTATGGCCGTAGATTTTGAGCTGTTCTCCGAGCTGGATGATTATTGTGCAGACTTTTCGTTGCCTGATAAGGCAATATCATCAGTGCGGCTTCAGGAGCCTGGTTCGTAGTGCCTCGTAAGAGACTTCAACGTCCAAGTGCTTATAGATTGCGTTCTACTTTGAATGCCAGGCTTCAATGAATTCCCGTGCTTGCCGGCTTTTAGCCCTTCCGAGGATACTGGCGTGCTCTAGGTCAAATTAATGGTTCTTGGCATCCATATGCACTGACATCTTTCAAAGTGAAAGATAAGCTTAGCAAATAGGAAGAAACTGGTGTGATTTATAAGATCTGCTGCCGGAACTGCGACAAATACTAAGTGGGACAGACTGGAAAAAGGCTTGGCACAAGGCTACACGAACACAGCCTAGCCATTCGTCGCCACGATCAGAACTCCCTGATGCCAGTGCATATGGATGCCGAGAACCACCAGTTCGACCTAGAGCACGCCTTTATCCTCGGAAGGGCTAAAAGCCGGCAAGCGCGTAAGTTCATTGAAGTCTGGCACTCAAAGCAGATCTCGATCAATAAGAAAGTAGACATTGAAGTTGCTTACGAGACCCTACAAACCGGGCCCATGAAGCCGCACTGATGGTGTTGCCTAGTCAGACAACGAAACGTCTGCACAGTATTCACTAAGCTACGAGAATAGCTCCAAATCCGAAAGCGCTCTTTGCTTCCTGAAACTACACAATTGCCCTGAGTGTTCTCATTGGCTGACCATGGTTGCTCTAGCCAAGTAAATTGTAAGCCCGATTAGTTTTAAGTTCCACTGAAAATATGAATGAACCTAAGCAATTTCCCTGAACGAGTACCCCTATCCGGTTGAAAGCTCCAGTGTTCATCGACCTGCTTCGGATTCTGATGTCGTACCGATAATTCGTCCGGTTTAGTCTGTACGCAAGTCAAGAACTTTACGACAGTCCCACGGTCAATAGGCTGAGAATCAGCCACTCTC